GAGTAGCTCAGATTATAGGTGTGAGTCACTGCCAAAAAGTATATTTTTCGTTGTAAAAATAATAAAGTTTATTAGGGAAGAAATTTAGTATAACAGGATAAAAGTGGGGATAAATGGTAAAAAGAAACATTTCCTGCCCCCAGGAAATGGGAGTACCAACTCCATAAGGAAAGTACTTTAAACAATTAAAATAAATGCCTTGTAGCTGGCTGCTAATGGTTCACGCCTGTAATCCTAGCTGCTTAGGAGGCTTAAATAGGAAGGATGGTGATTCAAAGCCAGCCTGGGCAAATAGTCTGTGAGACCACCCCTATCTCTAAAAAAATAACCAGGATAAAATGGACTGAAAGTGTGGCTCAAATGGTACAGTGCCTGTTTTGCAAACATGAAGCCCTGAGTTCAAATCCTAGTCCCACAAAAAAATAAAAAGCCTTGAGTGCTGCTTTGACCCTGTCCCAAAAATTTTGAACATGTTATTTTAACATTATTCCTATAACATGTTATGTTTAAGTAATAAGTGAATCAGAAAAATATGAATTTATTTTTAAATTTCTAGGTGAATAACTAGTTTAGATATATAATTATATTGTCAGTTCCTACTTTCTTTAGATAATATCAGCAAATGCAGATATAGTTTCTGGTTTAAAAATGTGTGAGCCAGTGGCTCATGCCTGTAATCCTAGCTATTCAGGAGGCAGAGATCAGGAAGACACAAGACCCTGTCTCAAAAAAACTCACCACAAAAAAGGGCTGGTGGAGTGGCTTAAATAGTAGAGCACCTGCCTAGCAAATGTGAGGCCCTGAATTCAAACTCCAGTACCACCAAAAAAATTATATATATATGTAACCCATATCATCACTTTTTGTACATGTTACTATTTGCTGGGATTGGCCTCGAACCACAATCCTCCCTATCTGAGCCTTCTAAGTAGCCAGGATTACAGGTATGTCACCAGTGCTCTGCAAAAATTGTTCAAAAGTTTGTTCTTTATTTCCACTTCACATACATCATAAATTTGTTCACCTGCCATTATCAATTGTATTACTCTTGTCTATCTCTTTTTTTTTTTTTTGTCAGTACGGGTTTTGTACTCAGAACCTCAAGCTTGCAAAGCAATCACACTACCACTTGAATAACACCTCTAGCCCATGTATATTTCTAGGTTTTGTTTTTTGGTTTGTGTGTGTGTGTGTGTGTGTGTGCTACTGGGATTTGAACACAGGGCCTCACGCTTCAGCCACTCTGCCATATTTTTGTGGTCTTTTTTTTTTTTTTGCAGTACTGAGGCTTGAACACAGGACCTTCACCTTGTGCCACACCACCAGCCCTATTTTTGTAAGGTTTTTTGTTCTTTGTTTTTCAAAATAGGGTCTCAAAAACTATTTTCCCCGGCTGGCTTCAAACATCCTCCTGATTTCTGCCTCCTGATTAGATAGGATTACAGGCATAAGCACCATCACGGGCTTGTTTTTTTTTTTGGGGGAGGGGGGTTGTGGTACTAGGATTTGAACAGTAGGGCCTACATCTAGAGCCATTCCACCAGCCTTTTATTGTGATGGGTTTTTTCTAAATTGAGTCTCATGAACTATTTGCCCAGGCTGGTTTTGAATCATGATCCTCCTGATCTCTGCCTCCTGAATAGGTAGAATTACAGACATGAGCCACCTGTGCATGGACTATACCTCTGTTTGACATAGCTCATCAGCATTAATTGTTTTTGTTTCCATCTGTTTTCATTCATTCAACAAATATTTGTTGACTCCCTTATATGCTAGGCCCTGGGGGATACAGTGGTAAAAAGACACACATAGTCTCTGTTGATGAGAGAAAGTAAGGGTGTATGATGGTAAGAAAGTTCTGGATAGGGACTGAACTGGGAAGTTAGGGAGGAGTTCTGAGACCTCGAGGGTGAGTAGTCAGGAGAGGGTATATTATTATTATTATTATTATTATTATTATTGTTATTTTGGCTGCTCTGGGGTTTGAATTCAGGGCTTCATTCCTGTTAGGCAAAGGTATTTACCATTTGAGCCCTTTTTCATGATGGGTTTTTTTCGGGACAAACTATTTGACTGGGACTGGCCTTGATCCTCCTGATCTTTGCCTCCTGAGTAGTTAAGAGTTCCAGGTGTGAGCCACTGGCACCTGATGCAAATATATACATCCTATGAGTAATGGTTCTTTTTTACTTTGTTACATTTTGAGATAGGGACTTGCTATGTAGTCCATGCTGACTTAGAACTGAATTCTTCTTGCTTCAGCCTCCCGAGTACTGGGATTATCAGTGTGAGATACCATGCCTAGCATGTTTTAGTTTTTATTATGCTTTTCCTGCATGCTAACTTATTGTGCTCCCTCATTTATTGTTATTATTCTACAATATTTTGCTGAGTGCTCTAAACTGTGACGAGAGTGAAGTATGATGCCATCAATGCTGAGGTCAGATAGGCCAAAACCCAGAGCCCACTCAGAAGGCTGGAGTCCTCCTTGGAACCTAGAAACAAAGCTAACTATATGTACCTTCATAAATATTTCCAGAAATGAAGAGATGATCACAAGTACAGAACAACAGAATGCAGCAGAAAGGGCATGCAAAGAAGAGGAGATGGTGGCATTGTCCACACTAGGAGGGTCAGGAGTCATTTACTATTAGCCTGCTAGAGCTCCTAGAACCTGGCAATGTGGAATATGGAAGGTTTCTCCATTCCTGAAGAACCTGGAAGCTGGGCTCAGATCCACAGATGGGGCTTTTTTTTTTTTTTTTTTGGTGGTATTGGGATTTGAACTCAGACTTCATGCTTGGGATTTTTTAAATACAATTTTCTTCTAAATTTTGAAGATTATGCTCATGTGTAAAAATTTTGAAAATGTACAATTACACAAAATTAATCACCATGGTCCTGTCATTAGAGAATATTGACAATAGCTTTTTTGGATTTCTAGTCTTCCATTTGACTTGCATGCTTATTCCTTAATTTCAGGCATTACATAACCTTAGAGCTGTATCATTAGTATATTTCCATGTTAAGCCTCTTTGTAAACATTCCATGGCTACAAAATAATCTTGTTTTTATTTTCATTCAGTTTACGTTTTCAGTCTTGGTGGTTTGAACTAGGTCGTATAAGCCACTCACCAACACTGTTGTATAAAGGAATTTTCTGTATGTGAACTATTTTGAGCTGGCTTTGCAACCACAATCCTCCTATTCTGAGGAGCTATATAGTTAGGATGACCACCAGCGCCAGCTAATCGTTTTTTAGACACTTAGGAGTTTCTATATTATCCAGCAATCAGTATGGCTTTGTAGGACAACCTAAGCTAACACTTTTGCTCCATCTCTGTCTCCCCTGCCTAGCTACCTGGCTCCTTGCCCCAAGCCTAGTGTGTCCCAGAGGTGTTAGTGCTACCCAGATAGTCTTTGTGCCTACTGCTTGAGCCACACACTTTAAATTATCACAATAGTCCCTTGCCTTCATTTGAGCTATACTGATATCATCACCTTCTGCTCTGAGATGACCAGCCTCACCTGGTCCACACCAATCAGAGCTTCCTACCTTCCTGTAACCTGCACTAACTGCACTTACTTTATGCTGGCTTGAGTCATCAGCTCATACCCAGTTTCCCTAATGTCCCTAGAACCCAGCAGGGCCCAACATGTACTATGGATTCAGGAATACTTGATGAACAAGTGAATGACTGGGTGGATAAAACCCTAAGCCAGATGCCAGTGGCTCATACCTATAATCCTAGCTACTCAGGAGTCAGAGATCAGGAGGATCTAGGTTCCAAGCCAGTGCAGGCAAATAGTTTGTGAGACCCTATCTTGAAAAAACCCTTCACAAAAAAGGGCTGGTGGAGTGGCTCAAGGTGTACACCTTAAATTCAATCCCAGTACCAAAAAAAAAAACAAAAAACAAAAAAAAACCCTAGAAGACTAGAGATCTAGCTCAAGGGTAGAGTTCTTGTCTAGAGAATGCTTGAGGCCCTGGGTTCAATTGCCAACACACAAAAAAAGAAAAAAACCAGAAATAGGCTTCACTGAGCCAGAGGATCATATTTTTTCTTCATGCCTTGAGTGATTCAGTAAAAGGTTAAAAAATAAGCCTATGCCCCTGCTAAAAGTTCAAAATGAAATCCATAGCCAGGTGACCGTCAACTACATCCCTCTCGCCCAAGGGTGCACCCCATTCTTCTCCCAGGGTCCACAGCCTCCCTGGCCACATCTCTGTAGTTTTGTCTGTCTTGTCAGTCCAGGCTTGAGTCTGGGCTTACCTTCTCTGTCTCTTTAGCTAGACTGTGCTATGGGGCCAGGGCTGGGGCCCTCTGGTAACTCACATCTACTTTCACTGCTCAAGTGTTCAAATATTCACTGATTACTGAGAAGGGGATAGCTCACCTTTATTGTGTTCCTAGCAGACTGTATAAACCATATAGTATGCATTCTCATGGTGTTCTCACCTCAATATGGGGGGTGGTGACTACCATCCACTCTACAGATGCAGAGATTGGGGCTCAGAGAAGTTTAAGGCTGTGGTCACATAGTTAATAAGGGAGATTAGAGATTTAAACCAAGCTCTAACTCAAGGACCATACTCTTACATTATGCACCATATTAAGAATTGTTTATTCCTGGGTGTGATGGTACACATCTGTAATCCCAGCACTTGGGAGGAAGAAGCAGGAGGATCTCAACTTCTAGGACAGCATGGAATACATAGTGAGTTTGAGGCCAGCCTGGGCTGTAATACATAATGACACCCTGTCTCAAAAGTGAGTGAGAGGGCTGGCAGAGTGGCTCAAGTGGTAGAGTGCTGCCTAGCAAGTGGGAAGCCATGAGTTCAAACCCCTGTACCACCAAAAAAAAAAAAAAGAAGAAAAGAAGAAGAAAGCGAGAGAGAGAGAAAAGAAAGAGAAAATGAGAGCAGGAGGAAGGAATAAGAGGAACATTAGGAAGGGGAGTAATACTGCCACAGTAACCCCACCTGTCCCTTCCTGAAGCCCTGGCAGTTCTCCGTGGGTGGCCACCTGTCCCCATGGCCTACCTACACCAGTGGCCAGACCATTCTACAAAACCGAAAGCCCTGTTCTGATGACTACGGGAAGCGAGCCAGGTAAGGCAGAGTAAAACACGGTGGGCAGGCTACTACAGACCAGGCTTTGGGCTGGCACAGGGCAAGTGTGTGCTGTGCCAGACTAAGGGTACTGGTGACATCTCAACCCACCATCCCTTTGCATTAGCTGGCAGCAGCATCCTCTGGGCATTGCCAAGCCCAAATACCTGGAACAGCTAGAAAACTACCTACGCAAGGAGCTCCTCCTGCTGGACCTGGGCACAGATTCCACACAGGAGCTGAGGCTGCAGGTCAGAGCCCCAGATTAAACATGGGAGAGTCAGGAAGAAACCTCACCTATCAGGACTGGGTACTTTAGACCTTCAGGAAGGAGTGGTCTCCCAGATTATCTCCTTCTCTGAAAAGAAGCACATTGTATGAGAAAGCCAATGAGCAGACAAGGCTGCATGAACCAAAACTCCCAAAGCTGCAGGTTCACGAGTTGGGTAGACTGGATGCTCTTCCAGTCCCTGCAACTCTACTGTCCACAACACCAAACAGAAGTGACACAATTTCCACCACCACCACCACTAAGCTTGAGTAACTACCCCCAGAGACAAAGAAGAGGAGAGAGAGAGAGAGTTAGTACATATTAGAGAGGGTCTCAGATAGAAAGGACAGTAGTGAATCTCTGATTTGTGACCTAGTCATAACTGAAACATTTACTGAGCCATGGCTGTGTGCCAGGTTCTGGGCACAACATACAAGCAGAATGTGAGGCTAGAACCTTCAATCTACTGTGCCCACAAAGCTCTGAGGTAGGGAAAGACTGAAGTTGAGAGGCCAATGGATACAGGGTCTGGAAGGCAAGACTGGCTGCCTGGATAGGCAAAAGAAAAGGTGACAGGTTTAGTCCATGGTGGTTGGCCAGACCTTATAGACATCAGAGGGAAGACCTCCAGAAAGCTGCACATCCAGTGAGACCTGGGTGGTCCTTAGGTCTTCCCTTCATATGGGTTACCTGGCAGCCTCACGTGGGAACTTCTTAGCCCAGTAAAGAAAAGCACAGATCCCCACTGAGTGTGGCAGGTATGAGCCATGAAGTGACAGGTTCCCTTTTCTTTCCAGCCTTATAGAGAGATCTTCGAATTCTTCATAGAGGATTTCAAGACGTACAAACCACTACTATCTTCCATCAAAAATGCATACGAGGCGATGCTGGGTAAGAACTTAGCTCCTATCCTGGGTCCAAACAGAAATAGACACAGAGAGGGACCTATTCTGATTCTAGGGCTCCAAAGCAGGACTGGGGCAGCTTCTAACTGGACTTTGAGGTCACCTTTTGCATGGATTGTTCGGTGGTAGGGCACCTAAAGGAACCTCACCCTTTCCATTCTTGAGAAGTATGTTACAGCAGTAAGTATAGGAAAAAGAGGGAACACCAGGAATAGAAACTCCTCTGGGAAGTAAGGAGGGTCCCCAGGCAGTCTCAGGAGGTGCAAATAGGTTGCTGTTTCAGGACTAAAGGCATAGGATGCAAAGACATAGGAGAGATCCCAGTCCTCATCTGGACTCTGCCCTTGATTTAATAACAAACACATGCTTTAAAAAAAAAAAAAGTAAGTGCAGGAAGATGTGAAGCAGGATCATGGCTTTGAAAAGGTAAGCATAGACTCCTGATGTTTGCAAGTGACGATTGATCTTATGATCAATGTCTTGTGGCTGTTTGGTCACCATGGACCCAAAAGGACTTTGCCACCTGTCCATGCTTAGTCCACCAAAGGGAGAAGATTCAGGCCCTGGAGCCCCTGAAGGCCAAGCTTGTTTCTATGAATGAGGAATGCAACCAGAGGATCCTGGCCATGCAGGCTGAAGAGAGGGATGAAATCTCTGTGCTCAAGAGAGAGAAGATGAATTTGCTAAAACTCATAGACAAAAAGAATGAGGAGAAGATCTCACTGCAGAGTGAGGTGAATCAAGTTGTATGTACCCAAGCCCCTGGATTCCCTGCTCCATCCCTACCCCAGGGCTGACTTGAGCTCTAAGCAAAACCATTAACTCCATCTGCCTTCTTCCTGGAATGATACAGAGCCACCTCCATTTCCCCAGAACCTCTACTACCTTGACCCTCTGTTCGCTTTCGGGGCTCAACACAGGATCTGTATGGCCCAACTGCCAGTAGAATTTCTCCATGGGAGGCACTGGTACCTTGCTGAATCCTAAAGAATAATGGCCACTTTTCTTCTTCCACCTTTCCCTTCCTAACCAGATAAGTCCCCAACCCACATCCTATCCTGTGGTGACTACCAGCCCTACTACACAGCCACCTTCCCAGCAGGTGTCCAAGCTGAGAAAGAGCTTAGCTGAGGAGTACTTGCACTACCTCAGTGAGCGAGATGCCCGCAAGATCCTCATTGGGGACCTGAATGAAGCTACGGTACCAGAGGAAGATGTATCACTATCCCAGTCTCCAGGTAACTCCAGTGGGTTTCTCTTGTTCCAAAATGCTGGAGAGAAGTCTAGCTCTCACCATTACCCTTATTCATTCAATATTCCAACATCTGCTCATTCTATGCCCATACATGGTAGGAAATATCCTGCCACCGGATGGGGCTGTGCTCTTTTGTGCTGGACTGAGAATCATAGGATCATTAAGTAGGTACACTGCTGGCAGCTCAGACTCCACATGGGCAGGAGACACTTGGCATTACAATTTCTAGGCTTCTCTACCTAGGCCCAAACCCCTAGGCTGATAGCGCTATGGACAAGAACCAGGGAATCCCAAGCAGAGACAGCAGAACAACCTCAGGTATGCCCCAAAGATATCCAATTCAGCCCTGGGATACAACAAGAGTGACACAGGCTGGTGGGTACCTGGCAGGTGTCTGGGGGAGGACCCTGTGAAACTAACATTGCTCTGAAGATGACCCGGCAAGACCTGACCCGAACGCAGATGGAACTCAACACCATGAAGGCCAACTTTGGAGACGTGATACCCAGGAGAGACTTTGAAATGCAGGAGAAGATCAACAAGGATCTTCAAGAGCAGGTGCTGTGGGAGGAAGGTTAAGACAAGGTACGCAGGGTCACACAGGTAGGTACCTAAGACCCATCACCTTGCCCACAGTTGGACAGCCTGAGAGCTGACTATGAAGAGGTGTGCAAAGAACATGAACTACTGCTGCAGTTGCACATGAGTACACTGAAAGAGCGGGACCAGTTTTTTCTGAGCTGCAGGAAATCCAGCGCACTTCCACACCTCGCCCTGACTGGTCAAGTGTGAAGGTAATAATTGCCATCAGGCCCTAGGACCTGCTGAAGGGTATGGGCTAGACTCTAGTTCCCTTTCTCCACCTGCAGATGTGGTGGCCGGGGGTCCAGAACGCTGGCGAATGCTGGCTGAGGGAAAGAACAGTGACCAGCTGGTGGATGTGCTCTTGGAAGAGATTGGCGAGGGCCTTCTTCGGGAAAAAGACTTCTTTCCTGGTCTGGTAGGAAAGTCTCTGAGGGGTAAGCTTGGGGCCAAAGTCAGAACACTCAGGCCTTGCTGATGAGACTCCAGCTTCTTGCGGGGACCACTAGGGCTCTTCTGTGTTTGGAAGTGGGGCCACAGAGGAGCCTAGACATGAGCTGACATCCTGCCTTCCAGGCTATGGGGAAAACATCCCTCTTTCCTTCGGTTGATGGCCTTGTGGAGAATAAGAAGCCAAGCAAAAAAGATGTGATAAACCTCCTGAAGGATGCCTGGAAGGAACGTCTCACAGAGGAGGAGGTCAGGTCACACCAGACAATTTGGCACAGCAGCCTTCAGATCCTGAGTATTCTGGGGGGATGGGAGGGAAGGTGCTAAGGCACAAGAGGTCTAACCAACCCTAGGACAGGCTGACCAAGCATTCTCTCAACCCTACAGAAAGAGACGTTCCCAGATTTCTTCTTCAATTTCCTGGAGCGTCGCTTTGGCCTCAGTGATGCCATAGCCTGGGCTTACACCATTTTTGAAAATATCAAACTCTTCCGCTCCAATGAGGTCATGAGTCAGTTCTATGCAGTCTTGATGGGAAAGGTGAGTTTTGGCCTAACTCCCACCCATTCCCCTCAGAGTGACGTTGTCCCCAGTATAGGCAAGCTCTACCCGCCCTCAATCCAGGATGCAGCATATTAGTGAATGCTTTCCTCTCTGTAGATGACAGAGAGTACATATATCAACCAAAAGGACAGAATAGCCCATCTGCTGAAGGAGATGACAAATGCTGATACTCAGAATGAGGGGTTACTAACCATGGAGCAGTTCAGGTGAGAGGCCATTCTGAGCCACCCCAAATTCAAGCCAAATGTCTCCACGGGTCAGGCACTTAGGTATGAAGGGACAAAGTGAGGCTTGCAGGAAAGGCAACAACCTCAAAACTCACTGTTCTTCTGTACAATAGTAGGACAGCTCATGAGGCAACAGGTGAAAGGTGGGCAGCCTCGGCCATAACCCTGTTGTCCCTTCTGTCTCCCCTTGACAGCACCATCCTCAAGAACACATTCCCCCTCAAGAAGGAAGAGCAAATTCAGGAGCTGATGGAGACAGGAGGCTGGCAACCCAACAGCAGCAATTCAGACTTGCTCAACTACCACTTATTGTTTACAGAGGTACATGGGGTGGGGCTCAGGAACTTGCACATTCCCTACCTTAGCCTTGACTAGGTTCTGATCAGTGTGTCCTCACCTTCCCTTATGGACCCTCTCAGAATGAAGAAGGCCAGAGTGAGCCTTTGTACAAAAACTGTGGGAACAGTACAAGGATGAGAAGGAACAATACTTGCAGGAACTAAAGCAGGAGCTGGGCAGGAATCCGTGAGTGACCTTCAGCCCACTGGCCCACTGAGCCCTTGGCAAATCCCACAGATAGGGCAATTCCCTCAGGGTAGCATTTAAGGCCCCAGAGTCTTCCTGTAGCATGTTCCTAGGCACTATAAGCTACTCAAGCCCTGCAGAAAGGGCATCTCAGTGTCTAGGGTAGAGAAGGAGGCTCAAGCCTATCACTCTCTTTCCTTGTGGGCAGCCATGATGAGGTGACCCTCTCCAAACTGCATGGGGCTCTGATGACCATTGACCCAAGCCTGGACAAGCAGACGGTCATCGCCTACCTGAGCCAGGCGTTCGAGCTCCCTGTGTCAGAACTTCCAGAGGAGGATAATGAGAAGCAGGAGGGCACTGTGATACAGCTCCAGACGGTACTGGAACGGCTTCGATTAGCTGACATAAAGCGCATGGGGCCTCGAGAGCCAGAGCCTGCAAGCTAGGACCACTGTGGGCACCCTGAGTGCTCCAGTACTGCTAACCCAATTTTTATTATAAAACTCTTTTATCTGAAACCATACCATTTTCCAAGCTGTGCTGGGAAGTCAGAAATACAGAGGACAGGGGGAATCTGGGCTGCTGCCAGGATATGCACCAAAAAGCAGAATATTCTGTTTGTGACACTTTATTTTTGTGGAACTGGGGTTTGAACTCAGGCCTTTGTACTTGCAAAGCAAGTGTCCTGCTACTTAAGGAACTCCACGAGTCCCTTTTTGGTGACATTGATATTTAGGTAGTGGGGAAGGGACCTGGAATATTATGTGGGGCTATGGCATCCCTGGTAGGGAAAGGGCAAGTGTTGAGGCTTGACCACTACTGGGCAGGAAAGACAGAATTGCCACTGAATGCACAGGGGATGAGCAGCTGCCGGTACTCCAGAGGCAGATGTCGCTCCACAAGCACATGCAGAGAGACTTGGTCGGTGACCAGACCCTGCCTGCAGCAGAGGAAGACAGGGGCAGCCAGCATGAGCATCAGCACTGTCACATCCAGCCTCCCTTTCTGACCACTCACCGTCGCATCAGCAGCTCCAGGTCCTCTGGCCTTACAGTCTTTCGGCCAGCATGAGCAGCAAATACCTCCAGGTCATTACAAAGGTGCTGGAAATACTTGTCTAGGCTGCCAAGAAGGTTGAGGCAGATCAGACTGAATAGTCTGTTCAGAACCTGAGAGGCTCCTCTACTTATCTATGCAGGTTTTGAAACTTACCACTTCTCTACCATCTCCATAGCTGCCTTCTCCATGGGCATCTTAGCATAGAAGCTAAAGAGTTTTGCATAGTGGCTCAGTCCAGCCTTGTAGGGATCTTGACGTGGTCTGGGGCCAGCAGTACGGGGCCTGCGGGGAAGCCTGGCAAGCATAGGCTCCAAAGGCTCTGAAGGCAAGCTTGGGGCAGGAGGGACACAAATTCCTGAACAGCTGCAGGGGAAGGCCCCCATTCAAGGACAAGTCCTGCTGGCTCCTGCTGAGACTGGGCCTGTGTTCTCCTTAATTAGCTTCGATCAGCAGTTTCAACCATCTATTATTGAGGAACAGTGTGGTCACAGAACCACATAGAAGCCTGCTCTTTCCCTGGTACCCTCATTCCTCCAGTCTGGACCCAGCATGCTAGTCTAGCCTCATCATGTATACACTGGTGCTTCCTCAGACCTGTGATCCCAGAACTCAGAATGGAAAGTCTCTCCCATCAGGAGTGTATCACTGCCCGCCTCGACTGAGCTCATCATCACCTAGCAAGCCTTGTTTGACTACATACTGATCAGAAAATTCTACCTCAGCCAGGCTCTTCTAAGACCCTTGGAGGAAGGCATAAGGATGAAAGATATGTTCAGTCTGCTATGCTGGGTAATCATCTGTATACCTGTGGGTAAGGGTGCCCAATGCCAACCTCAGTACCTACCCTCTTCCCAAGAAACCCATGAGTAACAGGGTCATAAATTCTTACATTGTGACACCAAGTGATGGAGTTGGATCGAGAAACTCATGTGGTTGCTTGGCCTGGAGGAACTCAGGGGTACTGGAGGCCAATTCTGGACATGCTGTAGAAAAAGGGCAGGGTCACAGAAAGCTCAGGTTTGACCACATCAGCCAGCTGTGCAAGTCCAGTCCCACTGTCCTATTTCTCAAGGGCATCACCTAGCAAAAATCAAGCAAGTGCCCCTCAGAGTTTCCCTTGTCTCCTAATACCACCAATTGCCAGGAACATCCCAGTCAAGCCCCTTCAGTGTACCAAGGCCTGAATACAGCTGTCACCATTCACTTACTGATCTCTGCAATGGGCCTCTTACTTGGCCTGTCAGAGGTATCCTCATCCCCTGAAGATCCCTCTAGCTCTTTGGCCACCTCCGCCTCCCGGAATCCCTCTCCTTCTGTCACCTCTTGAGAAGTAGTAGGCCAAGGGTATAGCTCTGAGAAGGGTAAAGATGGAGAAAAGTCATTCCCATTCACTGAAGAGAGACCAAGTCAGAGGCAGCATCAGGGCACCGACTTGGAATCTCCTGGACCAACACTGACTCTGCTGTCGGATGAAAAGACCCCTACTGCCGGGCGACGGTGGCTCACGCCTGTAATCCTAGCTACTCGGGAGATAGAGATCAGGAGGATTACAGTTTGAAGGTAGCCCAGGCAAACAGTGTGCCAGACCCTATCTCGAAAAAAAACCCATCACAAAAAAATGCTGGTGGAGTGGCTCAAGGTATAGGGCTGTGAGTTCAAGCCCCAGTGCCGCAAAAAAAAAAAAAAAAAACAAAAAGGACCCCTAGCCAGGGAGCTCTGAGGTACACATATAGCTTTGGGGAGGGAAACTCTTGCCCAGGCTAAGCTTGGCTCTAGGACACCTGCTCCATGTACTCACTGTGGTTTTGCAGCCTGGGTCCTCTGCTCCGTGTCCTGTGACCCACAGCCCTCTCAGAGTCTTCAACTGCAGTATGAGTGGGGAGAGGCAGGGAGTCATGCAAACTGGGGGAGCAGCCAACCAAGGGCTGTGAGAAGGGCTGAGTGTCTTCCAACACTGTGTCCGTTGGCAGAGCAGCAGCAGGGGTTCTATGGCTATTACCTGGAGATCAAGGGCCAGCTGGCACTCAGTATATTCCAGGCCCAGAGTTGCCAGGGCCTGGGCAAAAGATCCCAAGGATCTGCCCAGCTTGAGAGATCTTTCAGAGAGAGATGACCTGGAACCTTAGCTCTCTTCCTCAGCTCTCCTTGCTACCTTCCTGCTCCACGGCCTGCATCTCCAGGCCTCCACAGCTTGCCTCCCCACAACTGCTTATCACATCTCTACTCTTGACTCCTCCCTCTGCACAGAACTCTCCTTCTCTGGTGAATTTATCTTCTAGAATCAGGATCCCAGGTTTAGCTTTAAATGGCTAACTGATCATGAAATCTAGCCTCCTTCACCCTCGACCAAGTTCTAGCTACTACACCACACCCCTTTCCTACTACCCTCACCCCTGTAGCTCAACAACATGAAGTCCTAGAAGACAGAGAGACAGTAAGACTGGGGCCCCACCAAGGCCAGAGGCACCTAGTGGAAAGAGAGCAATTCCTAGTACACCTACTGGCCACTGTCCTTGACCCCACGAAGAAGGAAGCAACCCTGGACTCAGCAGCACCTCCTCAAAAGTTGTTAGGGGGAAATCTCAACCTTACCTGAGGCCAAGGAATTATCTCTAAGATCTTGCAAAAGGGCACCCACATCTACAGCCCGACGGGTGGGTGGTCTGCGGGCCAAACCGGGTCTCCTTACCGACTGTGGCTGAAGAGGTGTGGCAAAGGTCAGGTTGAGAGAACTGGTTGAAGAGAGGAGGTACCAGGACAGTCAGGTCCCTGAGGCCCAGTTTTCCCAGAGCATTCCCCCATCTGCCCTGGGGCTCTCATCTCTTAGAATGTGGCACCATTGCAGTGAGACTAAACCAGCATGGAGCAGTATGGTCAGATTTCTTTGATCAGTCCCTAACCGCTGTTCTCTACCAACCCCTGGGACAAGCAATAGTACCTGGTGAGGGCAGAGGCATCAGCATTCCCAGAAGGCTCTGTCAGTGACCATTGAGGGAATATAAAAAGAAGAAACTATGGTAAGTTACTCAGGCCCATTAAAGCCCTCTCTCTCCCACCTCAGCAGAGGACAGGAAAGTAAAACAGGTGGTATCTCAGGTTTCACCTTGAGAGAGTGGCAGTTCCTGGTTCACTTCCTGCTGAAACACTGACAATCTCAGCCTTTGCTTTCTCCTGCCAAGGGCTGGAAGACCTGGGGCCAAGGTTGAAGGGGGCTCAAGTTCAGGAAGTTGCAGCTCCAAGCTATAAGAATGAAGTTTTATCTCACATGGTCCAGGAAGCCCAATTCCAGTTTTTGGAGCCCCAAGAGACTCCCAGACCAGAACGGCCCAACAGCCCACAAGAGAGTTCAATGTGTACCTGCCCCGACTGCTTTTCCGTCTGGAGGATTGGACCACCTGCGGCGCTGACACTGGCTTCACCACTGAGTCTGGCATCACAATGGAAGATTCTGGAGCTGCAGAAACCCCAAGGAAATGATAGGGTAACAAAGAGGGATACCACAGAACTGGTGTTAGAGTGGCAACCAACTTTGGGAGGCCAGTGGCCACTTACCAGTTAGGAGGATGTTCCTCAGCAGAGTCCGCGGTGTCTTTCCTCTAGGGACCCACTGGCCTGACCGTGGGCCAACCTGCCAATAGACTATGAGTGAAAGCACCATGCAACCAGTCTGTTCTTTTGCCTTGAGATTCTCTCAAGGTTGGCTCCAGAACAGAAACAGAACTCAAGGACCATGAAGGCATCCAGGGTCCTAGAGTGACAGCGGACTGTGCACTTACCCTGGCTCCGTGGGAACGCTGTCTGGCAGTCGTCTCTGTTTGGCTCCTCAGTCTCCTGGAGGAAGGTGTTTCAAGCAGGGTTTTCTGGGCCCTGTGTAAAGACCACGGCTCTGAGAATTACAAAAGGGAGTGGGGCAAGGGGCTAGAGAATGCAGAGACATACCTTCACCAGGTGTTTCTGGCCTAAAGCCCTTTTCCCTCAGGGACAGTAACCCAAAAAACACTTGTGCCTTCCACAGCACCTGGTCCCAGCTCTGTGTCAACAGGGGGGTGAACAAAGGAGAGCCCTGGGGTATGGGAAAAGAGGGATTATGATTGACCCAACCAAAGAGGGAAGGATCCAGGTACTGCCCAAAAAAGAGAAGAAAGCTTCACAGAAGTGACTTGATTGAGGCAGAATCATAAAGATAAGTAAGGATTAGTCACACAGAGAGGAGAAATTGGCAGAATCTCTATCCAGACACTAAAATAACAACCCAAGAAGGTAGTTAGCTAATTTTAACCCTTTAAGTACTTGTCAGGGTCTAAGTGAAACTGCCACATGGGTCACCAAATTCGTATCAGAGTCAGATAAATGTTCCTCAAGGTACAACTCCCACCTCATCACTCATAAGTCTAAAACCTATCATGAATGACTTCCCATTCCTGTAAAGGAAAAGGATTCCAACTGTCCCAGTCCTAGTCTGGCAGACGCCAGGCCCACTCCCCCATGAGCTCACCACAGCCCTCCTCCAGAGAGAGGAGGCAACCAACTTTGTTACACTTTTCTCCTTCAAACAGGAGAAAGTTCATCCCGCTCCCCCTACCCCCCCCCCACCGTTCCCTCCTCCTTCCTCCCCTCTTTGCCTTAAACTGTGCTCGTCCAGATGGAGCCACAGAGCAAGTAAGACTGACTGTGCAAGGAAAGGTGCGATTACCTGGGAGCTGAGGGTACATGCCAGGACACACATCCCCGGCTGGTGTGGACGAAATAACCCAGAGAACAGAGAAGCTATCCTTTGCTTGCTTCCAGAGGTCCAGGACTCGGACACAGCTGGGATTTGCTGTCCGAGGCCTGGCCTCCTGGAGCTTCAGGGATGGGGGACATAAACAGCTGAGCCGAGCCCGGCTCTGGGATTGGAGCCAGTTCTCGGGGTTCTGGGTTCTGCCCTTCTCTGGGACTCACTTTCCCAGTCCAAACAGGGTTGGCGCTGGCTCCCACCCCGAGCCCATTTCCGAGTCCTTCTAGTTGCTCATGCAGCACTGACACATACCCAGCCTGGGCACTCCGACGTCGCCGCGGGGTGAGCGAATCCGCTGTATCCAGCACGCGCCGCAGCAACGTACGTGTCGTAAGCTCGCTGTCAGAACTGTAGAAGTCCGCCATGTTCTCAGACACCACCCCTCCCAACTGCCCGCGCAACTTCAAGCACCGCGTTCCCGCCGCCGCATTTAAGAGAATTCTCGCGATGAAATGGCACTGCCCCACGGGAATTGTAGTTCTCGCTATGCTCTGCGTTGTGACGGGTGGTTGCAATGTTGGAGGCAGCCTTGCCGGATTTAAAGCTGGGCAAACCAGTCCAGGTCTTGGTTTCCTTGTGTGGAAGTTACGGATGATAACCATAAGAATTATTTTGGCGGTGCTGAGGTTTGAACTCGCTTCCTAGGCAGGTGTCACTTCTGGCTTGAGCCATTCCACCAGCTTTTTTGGTTGGGTGTTTTCGAGACAGAATCTGGAGAACTTGTTGCCCAGACTGGCTCTTGATGGTAATCCTCTTGAACTCTGCCTCATGAGTAGTTAGGATTACAGGCTTAAGCCACCGGCACCCGGCTCTAATATTAAAATTTTTAATGATTCAGTGCTTTAGTTACATAAGCCAAGGCATCAATAAAAGCAGTTTCTATTAGAATACCTTGCATTCCTATCTCCCTCTCCTAATAAGAGGAGAGAGATTGTTCCAAGGGGTGGGGAAAAATTATACTATATGTGATCTGTTCATATTTGCATTTGCACAGATGCCTCTTGTCTGTAGGATCTAGTCATAGAGACTACGTCTGTACTTCAAGACCACTGGGCTGTTGGTGATCAGTACAAATGTTATGATTTCCAAACAATCCAGGGGCCAGTGGCTCACTTCTGTCAATCTAGTGACACAAGAAGCAGAGATCAGGAGGATCAAGGTTTGAAGCCAGCACATAGTTCCAGAGAGCCTATCTCTAAAACGCCCATCTCACACAAAGGGCTGGTGGAGTGGCTCAAGGTGTAGGCCCTGAGTTCAAGCACCAGTACCAAAAAAAAAAAAAATTTCCAAACATATGCAATTATGAGAAGAAATCCGGCTGTCAAATGTTTTTTTGGCCTAGGGGGCAGTTTAGTTCAGTGGTAGTAGTGCTGCCAAAAATGGTAGGGAAGGAGAGGGAGGAGGGAAGGAGGGGAAGTACTTGTGGAGAGGGAAGAAGAGAAGGAAGAGGAAGAAGTTTTTCTGTTTATGTTCTATATGTTTACCATATTCTGTTAATGCCTACAATGTATTTCACCAACTGGGAGTTCCACCACTACCTTTCTTGAGTTTTCATGGCAACTGAATTAGAACTTGGGTTATGATTCTCCCCTGGTATTTTTTTTTTGCCAGAACCTACTCCTAGGTCAGATGTAAAGTATCAGATACTCCAGACAGGCACAGACATATTCCTGATTGTGTTTAAGAAAAATGGGAGCAAAGAAAGAATTATATTCTAGCTTTTCAAAATAATAAACAGTAGAAGAAAAGCGTATCGAAATTCCTTGTCATTTAGATATGATTGTGTGTATAAAACTTAATTTGATAGCCTTTTGTAGAGACATTTCCATGATCACTGTCAAGCACCTAACTCCAGTTTTTGAAAATTTATTTTTGGGACTGGGGATGTGGCTCATTGGTAGAGTACTTGCCTAACATGTGCAGAGCCTTGGATTTGATCACCAGCACCACTCACTACATTCTCACACACTCACACACAAATTGTGTGTGTGTATGTATATATATTTATCTTTTTTTTTTGTAGTACTAGAGTTTGAACTCAGGGCTTATACTTTGAGCCAGTCTACCACCCTTTTTTGCAATGGGTTTTACCAAGATAGCATCTCACAAACTATTTGTCTGGGCTGACCTCGAACCACTATCCTCCTGATCTCTGCCTCCTGAATAGCTAGATAAATATACTGGTAAGCATGACATTTTTGTTTGTTTTTGTGCCACTGGGGCTTGAATTCTGAGCCTTAGGCTTGCTAGTCAGGTGCTCTGTCACTTGAGTCACTCCAGCAGCCCTAAACCCAAGTAAGATTTTTTCTTTTTTTTGGTGGTACTGAAATTTGATCTCTGGGCTTTGAGTTTGCAAAGCAGGCACTGTACTGCTTGTGCCACATCTCTAGAGATAAGTTTTTTGCCTAAGATAACATGTTTGCCAGCTTGTTTTTTTTGGTTTTGTTTGTTTGTTTTTGGCAGCACTTGGTTTAGAACTCAGGGCCTCAGGTTTGCTAGACATGTGCCAATCCACCAGCAATCGTGAACTGAATAATATGGTGAAAATACAAAATTCTTTCAAAAAAGTTCAAAACATAAGCTTAAGTCTTTGCACAGCATTATTCTGTGCTCACATCATTGATTAAACTTTTATGTTTATTACTTGCTTTTTGTCGCTTTGAGATGGGGATCTTGCTATGAAAAGTCCTTGAACTCTTGGGCTCCAGAGATCCTCCTGCCAGAGTATGGGGAGTGAGTATAGGGGAGTGCTACTGCTTCCAGCTGTTAATGGCTCTGGAGCAGTTTGTGATCAGAAGTCTTCCAAATCCTTTGTATCCCACCAGAAAGAATCCATAGCAGGACACGTGGGTATAAAGGGAGTTTATTAAAAGTCAATGAAGAGAAATACAAAGGGAAGCGTGGAGGGGCCCAGGTGGAAGCTGGATGCCTGCTCTTTAGGTGCTTTTAAAACCTACGATAACCTATGGGAAGGGGAAAACAAGAAGTTTCCCGCCCAGTAATTAATGACTGGGGAGGGGCATGGGTGGTTCATAGCTAGGTGAATGGTTCCTGAGCCAAATCATGGTTAATCTATGATGTAGTATTTTTTTTTCTATGAGTCCCAAACTTTCCCTACTGTACCCTGCTGCCCCACAGCTACTTTTTTTATTTTTTTGTGGTACTGGGCGTGAATTCAGGGCCTAAACCTTGAGCCATGCCACCAGCCCTTTTTTTATGATGTGTTTTTTTTGAGATAGGGTCTCAAGAACTATTTGCCGGGGCTGCCTTCAAACTTTGATCTTCCTGATCTCTGCCTCCTGAGTAGCTAGGATTACAGGCGTGAGCCACCAGTGCCTGGCCAGTGGGGCATAATCTTCATGTTCTGTGTCTAAATATCAATGTGACCTCTCCTCATTCAACAACTGTATGACAATGAAAATGCATAACAGATACAATGATATTTTGCTGAATTTTATCTCAATTGCACTCACTTTTTTTCCTGACAGTATCTTGCTTTGTAGCCCTGAGTGCTGGGATTATAGGCATGAATTGATGGGTAGCAAACAAGTGGTGGCCATGAGGGGAGACAGTGAAATTGATGCATGGATGACATGCGCAGGAATTTCAGGTGGTCAGCATTCTTGAGCCTGCTCTGAGAATGAAAGCACAAACAGACTCTAACAGCAGAGGTCGGAAAGATTTTATTTGTAGAGAATTTAGTTGGAGAAAAGAGAAGAGAAAGACTGCATATTGGAGAATGCAAGGGGACCCAGAAACTGGTGATCTGTGGGTCAGCGTGGGGAGTGGGTTTTATAGCCTATTTTTGCATTGCCTGAGGGCAGAGATGCCTTTCAGATGCAAACAGGGGTTTCCTAGGGAGGAGAAGTGTCTCCTTGTCCTCCTATCGCCTTTTGGGACCTCCTGCAGTCCGTCCTTCAGTCCTTCATTCCCCCCTCTCAATGGTCACCCTAACTCCTGTTAGGGATAGGGACAATGAAGTCTGTTCAGTAACTGCTTCCTGCTGACCGGGGGCGATGAAGGGTCCCGTAGCGTCAGGGCTGTCCATGAGAGGGGTTGTCAAGGGGACCGCAGTAGTAGGTTGTTTTCATCTCCACCAGAGGCATTTGTAGTTTGATGGATTCTAGGCGAGAAGAAACAAACTTGACAAGTAAGTTTAAAACGCAAGGCCCAAACACAAGCAAGAGAATAATGGCAACTATAGGCCTCAGAAAGGGTAGGAACCAAGTCCTGGAGGGGAGCCAGGATTTTATTTGTTCCCATACCTGAGTAGAAACCTGAGTTTCAAGAGATTGCTTCCAGAGTCATTTAGCCTTAGAGAATATAACCTGCACGTTCCTCTACAATGCCTGAAGTGTTTATATATGTGCAACAGGAGGTATTGGCGATGAAAATCTAGGGCCAGGTGGTGGTCCATTACCATACAGGCAAGGGACGACAAAGACCTTTGCATGTCCTTAATGGCCTAGGCCTGCCTGGTCTGAGGTGTCCTCTACCACTTTGGTTAGGTTTTTTTTTTGCAGTGACATGATTGGCAACTACCCCACAGCTGATTCCAGCAAGGGCTGCAACTAATGCTGTTATCCCTAAAACTATTAAAGTAACCTCCCTTTTATCCCTATGGGAAGCTGTTCCTGTTGTAGTTAGCATTTCTCTTTTCTTCCGAATGGCTGCATGAGCATGCAGGATCAGGAAGGCATACTTAGAATCTGTATAGATGTTGACTCTCTGTTCTTTTGACAGTCTTAGGGCTTCTGTTAGGGCCACTAATTCTGCCAATTGAGCACTTGTATTAGGAAGAGGATCTGATTTGAGAGTGCCAAATTCTGTCACAACTGCAAACCCTGCATGTCTGACACCATTCTTGACAAAGGAACTGCCATCAGTGTATAATTCTAGACCTGGGTTTTTTAAGGGCCGATCAGTTAAGTCAGGTTGGGCAGCATAATTTTCCATAAGTACCTCCTCACATGAGTGCTCAGGATTTCCCTCTGTCTCTGGTAGAAGGGATGCAGGATTTAGGCTCTGACAGGTCCTTAAAGTTATTTCTGTCCCTCCCAGAAGCTGAGCCTGATATTTAAGTAGACGGCTGTCAGATAGCCAAAGTTCTCCTTTTGAGTTTAAAATTTCCCCTAGGTCGTGTGGGGTATAAACTGTTAGGGGGCAGTTTAGGATAAGTTTCTGAGCTTCAAGCACTAGAAGGCTTACTGCGGCATTTCTCTGAGGCATCCTGGCTATCCCTTGGCTACCTGATCTAACTCTGCTTAAGTAGACTACTGGCTGGGGAGTGATGCCCCAGAGCTGAGTTACCACGCCCAAGGCCAGTCCTCCCTTTTTATAGACATATAATTGAAACTTGTCTTGT